TTTTTTTTTTTTTTTTTTTTTTTTGCAAAAGTGGTACTTTTAGAAGGGTCTGGTACATTACTACCTTTTCTTCCATTCCTAGGTGTAACTGGTTAAATCCAAAATAGCGTTAAAATGAGAATTAAGAGTTATCCAGCTTTTTGTTTGTTTGTTTAAAAAAATAAATTGGGTGAAGGTTATGTTTGAGATTTGGGCAAATCTCAAGATGCTTTTTTAATTCCTTGTCATGAAGAACCACAGCACTTCCTGCCATATTTATACAGTGCCCAGGACATTGTAGACAAATAAATTAATATAGACCAGAACTATTTAATTGATTACAACTCTCATAAGATCAAAGGTGAAAGTTCTAAACTGGCATTTTTTCTGCTACGGTGGGAAGGTTGTTATCACAAACCAATGTTTCTTTTCTCCTTTTCAAAATTGGAAAGCCTCTCTGAGCTGAGAGAATACACAGAGAGTTTAGCAGATAATGGAAAAGAGGAAGAGAGACAGGAACACTGTTTACCTCAAGCATCCGGTATGTCAGGACAGTCAGTCATCTCTCTGCTTTCCCCTGAAGAACTGAAGAAACTTATAGAGGAAGTAAAATCATTGGATGAGGCAACCTTGAAGGTGAGTCTACTTTTTAGTTCAAAGAACTCACAAACTTAGGGGCTAGCTAAGAAATGGATATCACAACCTTTGTTGTGTGAAATTCTTCCAAACAAAGCAACTATATTACTGTGGCAATTATCACTTCTTTTCCCCATAAATGATAGAATCACAACAAATAGGGATGGAAGGGACTTTGTGAGGTCATCTAGTCCATTCCTCTGCACCAAGGTAGGGTCAACTATACCTAAATGGTTCCCAAAAGATATTTGGCTAACTTGCTCTTTAAAACCTCCAGTGATGGAGGTTCCACATTTACCTTATGTAATCTTAACTCAAAGAACTTTACAAAGACAACCAAAAACATTCAGCTGTATGCTACCCTTAGGATAACTAAGGTACAAAGAGGGGAAGGCCAGTATTTCCAGAAGAATGTACTGATTTAGGTAGTCTCTATTTTAGGTGCTCAGTGTGAGACACACAGGACCTGCTTTTCAGAGTTACTGAACATCAGAGGTGAATAGCAGGGGAGGTACAGGTGAGGGAGGCACGTGACCCCCCTGAGATTCGCTCCCAACTCAGCACAGCTCAGGATGGGGCAGTTTTTTTGCTGCTCAGGCCAGCAGTGTTGGCAGGGGGGAGGAGGTGGGCACTAAGTCACAGCTCAGAAGTATAGGAGTGGATATGGGGCTTTTGGCAGGCCCACAGATTGTGACCTCCCAAACTCAGGAGACACCAGTCACTCCTGCTGAACATTGTCCTTGTTGGGTGTGGTTGGAGCTGGGGTGCACAGAACAGCTGAAAATCAGACCCCAGTTGCCTCAAATTTTGGAACACAAAAGTAGTATGTGTATTTGAAAACTAGCTTGAGTGGCTTGTTAAAACTCAAACAGTCCAATCAGAGGAGCAGCAGAAAGTAAAACCTTCCGAGTATCCTGTTGCCTAGATCATCTCTCTACTGTTACTGCAATGACAAATGAAATTTATCAACTGGTTCTTTACCAAAAATGTGTTACAAGCTGACCTGTAAAAGCTTTACAGTTCATGCTATTAAATAGGAATCTTTTTTCATACTTAGATATCTTACAGGACAATCAAGACTAAGGCAGTTCATCTCAGCTTACTGTTAGAATAGGAACTTGAACAGGATAGAAACTAGAATTACAAGTAATTTTTCAAAAACTGTCAGCAGGAGTTTGGGGAAGTTGCAAACAAACAAAAAAAGTAGTATTTCACAGTTGCAAGGTCCTCTACATAGCTCTTACCACTGAACCAACGTTTTTTTCTGGTTCTATTAAATATTGTACTTAAACAATTTAATATAATTTAATTTCTATGGCATTTGCTAAGCAGCAACACTTGGGAACATGATGTCATTACATAAACTAGAATATCAAGGTGGAAATATTCTACTGACTAAATACAAATAAAGTGTCTTAGCAGTCCAAATACTGTTTGCCACTAAGTCCCCTTGCAGAACACATATAGATCATATGAAAAAAATATGAATCTTCTAATTTTCTATTAAGTGTTGTTCTGTTCTTTGCCTAGCAATTTGATGACATTCATGTTACAATCTTGCATAAAGAAGAAGATGCTGGCCTTGGATTCAGCTTGGCAGGAGGAGCTGATCTAGAAAACAAAGTTATTACTGTAAGTAGTATCTTTCTCTGGCTAGGGAAGGTGACAGAGAAATTACAGTTGTCTGCACATGAAAGAATACTATGAAACAGAGGCTAAAAGATTCTTAAATGAAAATTCTCACCGTAAAACTTAGGTTTATTAACATCAGATCTTAGGAAAGCATCATGAAGTCACCTAGTCCAGCTCCTGCTCAGGACAGGATCATCGCTGACTAAACCACCCCAGCCAAATGTTCATCTAATCTGCTCTTGAAAATGTTCAGGGACAGATAACACTTTCTGTCAGAGTATGTTATTTTGAATGGAAAAACTGAACACAAATTTAATTTTGAACCAAAAGTATTTTTAAACCAAACCAAAATAAAACATTCATATTTTTAATTGCCTCCCATGGTACTGTAACTAGGGGTGAACGAGCAGGGCACAAGCCCCTGTGCAAGGTGGCAAGCCTTTGGTAAGCTCTTCACCTGAGGCAACAGATTCCTAGTTACACGTCCATCCTCCTCTTACATATCCATCCTCCCAGCAGAAAATGATTAATGCCTCAGTCTTTTCCCTGTTTCCCTTTTTCTTCTCAAACTTTTCAACAACTTATCTAGCTTTAAAAATGTTAAGTGACAGAAGAAAAACAAAACACTTTAATTTTACAAATTTAACATTTAAAAACTCTCTTTTTAAAAAGTAGTTCTTAAGTAGTATTCAGACATAATGACAAAAATGGAAAAGCATTTCAAGTATGTAACTGGCAATTTATGGCAGAAGGTCAGTAGAAAATGGAATATTGACAGATAATGGGAGCAAAGATGCCTATTTCTAATGGTCATGCAAGTAAAGGTAGGGTCTACTAATCTAAAAACATAATACCTTTGGAAGCAAAATACATGCTATAAGGTGGCTTTAGCATTCAGCTATGATTATGAAGGAAATAGTCAGGTTCATTTTTTCAGACTCCTTCCTCTAATTAGGAACTTTTCGATTGTGGTCCCTGATCTAACACCCTCTGAATTCAATGGTGCAGGTTCAGGATGCAATACTAAGCCGGTTAGTCAATGAAATCTAATGGCTTATAGCATCTTCAGTTTATTCAATATCTCATATTTCTTAACAGGTTTCTGTACAACCATTACAAGCCACGATTCTTAAAAGGAACTTGTTTTCTTGCAAAGGCCTGACAATATGCGACATTATGACTGTGAAATTTAGTTATATCTCTTTTCCAATAGGTCCACAGAGTGTTTCCTAATGGACTGGCATTTCAGGAAGGCACTATTCAGAAAGGAGATGAAGTATTATCCATTAATGGAAAATCTTTGAAAGGTGTCACACACAATGATGCCTTGGCAATCTTGCGTCAGGCTCGACAACCAAAGCAAGCAGTTGTTGTCACTAGAAAAGCCAAAGAGGGAGAAAAAAGTCTTAATGTTTCATTTGATTCTACTACCTCTTCTATGGCAAGCGAAGCTTCAACAGAATCAAGTGAGTATTGACAGAAGCCTTACAGCTGCTGGTGCATGTACACACTCACAGACACGCACACTCCTGCTATTTACTAAGGACTGCACAGGATTTGGCCAGCAAAAATCTGAGACTCATGGTTAAAAATTGTGCAAGTATTTGAAAATTCAGGGAGTAGGTCTGAAACAGTATGTTGGTTAACTGATATCAATTGGTTGTGTATAAACAAAAATCATAATGAATATCTATGGGAGAAAATGAAGTTGGTCAAGAGAGACAAACAGAGGTAACCCCCCTCCCCAGATTGAAAAATAAGGTAAAAAAAGGCCAAAGGAGGTGAACATTATCAGATTTATAAATAAATTGCTGAATTCCACAAAAAAAATAGGATTCCTTAAGATTAAATTCTAAAAGCATGTACTTATATTGAACATAGTTAATAAGCCAATGGCTACTTATATAACTAGTAGTATTTTTTTTAATTCCCAAAACTGCTAGGGGCACTGACAGACATGCAGCTTCCTGCTGCACTTTGGAGCCAGCCTTGTGTCTGCAGCCTCTCTCCCCTACCCGTTAACCCCCTACCCCCACCCACCTGAGCTCCGGTGCACAATCAGGCACTTCTAAAGTGCTCTGCCGCTGCGCACTTCTGTCAGGGCACAGCTGTAGAGTGCTTTCAGGGTGCCGATTTCATGACAAAACATCACTTCTGTCAGTGCCCTGGAAGTTCCGACGTACAAAAATATTTTGACAGCATTCTTTTTTCAGATTAGGTAAATTATGTATGGTAATCCACCATAACCACTGGCTATATGCAAACCATAGTGAGGGCACAGTACTAAATATTCTTTTTTCTCCCTTGTAGAACTTAAGGGATTTGTAATCACATTTACATACCCAAGTTCATATTGCTAGCCCTTTAGGTAAAAGTAGTTTTAATACTAGAATCAGGTCAAATGAAGGTCAGTCAATCTAAACCTAGATGGCCCAGTGGTCTAGCAAGGTTAAGAATGCCATTTGCTACAAGCAACAGCATCACATGGAATTGCCCTGCCTGAACAACCAGGTGCCGATTTACACCAGGGCAGCCTTTAACACATGTCTGGAGTGAAGCTTGAATATAGCTCCAGAGGTATACAATGAGAATGCCTAAATGACTCTGAGTGATAAACTATGGAAGTAATAATTCTCTCTCAGCATTTTTATGTAATTCTAGTGAAATGAAGCAGACATCCATTGCCACCTTTGCATTCTGTTAGGAGTTCAGTGTAACTTTCTGAAGGGACATTCAGTAACTTTACAACAAGCCAAAGGATCAAGAGCTGCCATTTTTGCCTTGCTTTGATTTGTGTCCCATAGATTCATTGGTACAACATTGAATTAGAGGTTTATTCTTTGGACTATGCTGTTTTCCATAGCATTTATTCCTTCTCTGATTACCTTCCATTTCTTCTCAGCAACTGAAGACACAGTCTGCACTGTAACTCTAGAAAAGACAGCTGGTGGCTTAGGATTCAGCCTGGAAGGAGGGAAGGGCTCCATCCATGGAGATAAACCCATTGTCATCAACAGGATTTTTAAAGGTAGAGTGGTTTAAACATGTGTTTGGACCAGATGATGATGAAGCTCATGAAAAATACTTTTTTTAACCTGCAAACTTAAAACTTTGGGATGTAGAATAAATGCCTGGTGGTCTACGTTGACCAGGCAACACAGTGACTACCCATAATTACAAAAATATACTATAAAAGTTTCCCTACACAAAGAACTAACACAATTTTTTTTCTCCCATCAGGGGTTGCCTCAGAACAAAGCAGCCCTGTTCAGCCTGGTGATGAGCTATTGCAAGTGCACACAACTGTCATGCAGGGACTCACCCGTTTTGAAGCTTGGAATATCATCAAGGCATTACCCGATGGGCCTATCACTGCTATCATCAAGCGGAAAAATCCAAGTCCTGCTGCTGCCAAATCAGCTGAAATTTTGCAAGGAGAGGAATAAAACTGCTGCCAATATTAAAAAAAAAACTAAACAAAAAAAAGTTTCATTAATGAAAACTGTTTGCCAGCACAGCACAGATACTGTGGAAGTGCGGATGATTGCCAGTTACAGATGTCTTTGGAATCTCTTGAGCAAATTTTGCAATATGAAGAGATGTGCACAAAAAGCTCCCAGTTCTTATTACAATATTCATAAGCAGCTGTTGCAAAGTGCACAATGGTAAAACATGGCTCTGCTAATAATATAATGGATGTAATAAAATGTGTGACAATCGCAGTGCTCTCTAGCTTATGTAAATGAACTTGGTGATGTTGCTGACTGGAGTGGACAGTTTTCTTAAGCATCAAATTTAATGCAAATCAGAAACATCTGGGAAGTCTGGGGCAGATTTTCATCCCTGCTTCAGTCATTTGGCACTACCTCTTGCTCCACCCCTTCAGTAGAGGAGACAGAGAAGGAGGCAGAGCAAGCTGGGGGAGTGGTCAAATCCAAGTTGGCCTGTCTAAGCACAAAAGAGCCAGGACAGATCAGTGGGAAATAGGTCCCGACTCGACAAATGCTCCACTGGCCTAACACTGGCAGAGGCACCTCTGTTGCTTCCTAAGCAAGCAGTCACTTATTTGATTTAAGGAGAAGGAAAGAATATGAGTCTAGGGCTTCCATAGGGCCGAAAGGGATCATGGCTGAGCTTCACTTGACCTTCAATTGCTCTGAACTCCTTGAACTGTACTGCACTCTTAACTCACACAACAGCTGTACTACGTAAATCAGGGAGTAATTTCCTGAAGCCCTCTGCTTGGACTGTTTGGAGAATTAAGCCCACAATTTCCCCTAGTAGAATTGCCATTAGTTTGAATGCAAATTACATAGATGCACTGGAAAAAACCCTTAGCACAATTGATTCAAGCCTTGCAATACCCTTCACGTTGCATTGTGAATTTAGGCCATCCCAAGGCTATAGTAATAAGGACATTTAAAACCAGTTTTTATCATCTGAATACATAGTGTATATAATGTTTAATGACACTGCACTATTATTTAGAAGGAAGCTACTAATGATAGATCACAGTATTTAGTGATCCTGAAAACAATCATTTACACTGAAAACAAAAATAGCTTTGGGAAAGATATTCAAGACTCCATAAAAAAGGCTCCATAAAAAAGGCCATTTTCTGACTCCATGTAACACGATGGCATAATATAGCTTTATGGTCAAGGTTAGTGATCCCCTCAAACATCTCACCTGTCTCCAAAACCTGGAGAGATAGTACCCTGAAACATCTTACCTTGATCCCCTCCATAGATTTCTACCACTTACTTCTAAATTTAGAATTAAGAGGAAGTTATTAATGCAAATAAAACTTACTTGCTTTATTTATTCTTGCACCTAAACTAAAAAACATTGGGGAACAGATTCTATAATTTCTGCTAGAGATAGTCAATGAATGTGAAGTCAATCTGAATGACAAAAGTATTCAATATGCTAATGATTTTTTTCTGTTTGTGTCAACAGAAGTAGTTCGCAGAAACAATAAGCATGTATTATGCCACTGATACAAATCTTAGTCCAGTGTTAAATAGGTGTTCTTGTGTACAATAGCCTTAAACATAGAGAGTTGTTCTACATTGTAACAGGGACAAATCAGCTGCCAAGTTTTCAAAATGAATCTTCTACAGCATGCATTGTTAGATGCAGGCATGCAATCTTATCAGAGATGTGAGTCATTGCTCAGTTTTGGAAGACAATACCACTGTGCCTTGTGGTCCTTATGGTCCCCTCTGATTTGTTTCACTAACATAGGCATGCATGTACCATTAAGAACAAATTAGTATCTACACCAGGACTCCCACAGGCCAGCCAAGTGATTTTATCTGCTTTGCAAAGCCAGAACATCTGTAGTGGAGGCAAGCAGCAGCCAGGTTGGAAGTGTGTCAGTAGCAATTCAGTAGTGGGGAAACTGTCAGTGACCAGGCTGTAAGCAGCAGCTCACCTTTGGAGCAAGCTGCATCAGTCTGGCATGCAGCTCCTAAAAGACTACTGAAGCCTGATCTACAGGCAATGATGAACCTGAAAAGAGGAGTCCTGACACACATAGGAAATGAAAAATTAGTTTTCTTCACTCAAATGACAAATTTTGTAGCAGCAAGAAAAATAACGTGTAATACAAGAGGCAAACCAATCCGTATACTAATCCATATACTAATTTTTGCCCATAACTTTATCTTTGGTTTTAATCAAATTCAGCTTTGAAATGAACAGCAGAGTACTTTTTAAGATTTTTTAAAGCTCTCGTTATCTCTCTTCGAAGCTTCAACTATTCACCATAGTTCCCAGGGGAAAACTAGGAGCAACAGTCAAAAACTCCTAGAAGGCTCCAGACTGGCTATAAGGAAAAACTTCTTCATGGTTCATGTGACCAGACACTGGAATGGACTCAGACACCTGCCCTAGAGATCTTCAAAAGGAGACTGGATGCACACCTTGCTGGGGTTATTTTATCCCAGCAGTCTTTCCCACCCAGAGCAGGGGGGCTGGACCTGATGATCTCACAAGGTCCCTTCCAGCCCTAAACTTCTATGAATATAATTGGAGTTCTAAGCAAATGTCATTCCACTGTGCAACTATAGCATATCTAGGGTTTTTAACCCACTCATCTGTACATATCCCAGAGGAAATACAGGAATAAACAGCCATTTTAGCATCTGTTCAGACCCTGAGTTCCTTCATTGTGATAGGGTTAGATTTTGTAAAAACCTGGTGTAATCTCTTAGTGTTGGTTTTCACAACCATTCGCAATACAGAAATGGAGAAATTGTATTAAATATAGTCCTGTGCTAGGTATCCTCCATTAAAAGCAACTTCAGCCATTAAAGAGTTTCTTCACTAGAAATACAGCTTAATTTAGAGAAAGTAAAAGCTGACACAAACACCCCCCCCACCCCCACAAAAGCTTCTTTCCACCTCCATTCTTGCAGTCATTGTTATCTTTTAGGTTAGTGCATCTGCACATTTCCTGGTCCTGAGATCAAAAGCAGAAGTGACAATGTACTGGGTAACAGGAGTATGTCTCAGCAACCCCAATCTACCCCCAAAGCAGGAAGAGCCAAAAACACCTTACAAAACAGCAGTACTGTGAAATTTCCAGCCCTAATTTGGCAGTTTGTAGAGCAGTTCTGTGACATGCGGAGTGCTCTTAATTCTTGTTGGACTGTGTATGCCCCAAATCCTATAAAAGTAATCCTTAAATTGCTTAAATAAGGTACATGGCCCTGTAATTTGGCCTACCTAAGTAGATTAATGACCACTAACCACTGTCACCACAAGGACTATTCACAGAAGTAAAAGCTGTAAGATCAGTCCTAAGATTTAAATGTGCCCTTGAACTTTTGGGTGCTCAAGCCAACAACAGTTCAAGCCCTACCAAGATTCGTCCAGATGCTCAACTGGATTTGCAATGAGTAGCTCTACTGATTGCTCATGGTATGTACAACTAAGCATGTGGAGGAGCCCATAAGGATTTTGGGCCCCAAATCTCTCACACAGTTGTTCTTCCTACGTACAGAAAGCAGCAGTTTACACTGAAAACTAGAAATGCACAACAGATGAAGGGCCCAATCCTGAAAGACATTGATGGTCCGCAGCTCTCACTAAAAAGCTGTGCTCAAGTGCTGTGAGTGAAGGGTCAGCTTCACAGGCTGGGCTCAAGAGCCAAGAGGGTATGAAGAAATTTTGTGAAGTTCACAGCTCCTGTGAGCCTTGTCAAAGGTGATGGGAACTGAGCAGAAAAGTAGGACCAGCTTTAAAGGAAAATTAAACAGAACCAACCAAAAAGTGTAACAGAAAATATTTATTTTACTATGTGTACACTGACATGTTTTATAAACTTCACATGTACAAGAGACTACTTTAAAAAAATCATCCCTGGAAATCTAATTACAAGGATGAAAAATGACAGCAGGAAGTTTTGTATGTAAGCCTATGAACCACACTACACATGTTACATTTAACAAGTTTAAGGACTGAAACTGAAATATGGTTAAATAAATAGTAAAAGTAGCAGCATAAAAAATCACAATGTGGATTTACATTTCCAACTCAACCATCATAAATGATCATTTTCTTTTATAAAAGGGCCGAGAATAATGTGTTAATTATAACAGCTCCTGACATTCTCCAAATAATCAGCCATGTTGTAAAGGTGTACCTATCACTGCATACTACATCGGGGGCTAATCTAAGGTAAGCAAGGAGGCGAGTCAGGCTAGGGAACAGACACAAAGCACATCCCATTTTTATGACAAATCAAAACTTGTCCACCAAAAAGATGATTCACATGTTAAAAAACACCTCCAGTCAGGGACTGGAAAACTGTTCAGATTCCTGATTATTTCAGATGGGGTTAGAAAAATGACAGGTAAAGTGCTTAAAATTTCTTTATTGCCATTATGTCAGTGCAGTTTGGTTTATGCATTGAATTTTTGGAGAGTGCATGAGAGAAAAGAGGTAAATGGGAAGTACATTAATCTTGGAAAAGTGAGAAAGAGCAAGAATCAAGAAAAACTATGAAATCTCTTAAGCTGTTGAGGAAGTGACAGTGTGACTGTAGTGATAAAAGAGTTACTTTCTTTATTATCCACAGCACAGATTCATCGATAACACAGAAAACTTAAAAAATAAGTTTGCCATGTTATTACTGAATCAGTGTAATGGATAATAAAGAAAGTAACCCTTTCTTAATTAAAGGGGTCTGCAACCCCAAAGATGTGAGCATCACTGCTTTATGACAGTTTGTACGTGAACATTTTTTGGTTGAGAGTGGGTGATAAAGAGGACAACTCAGCTCTGACCTGTGTGAATTGGTTTAGAATATTAAGTCCTAATTCAGAAAAATACTCAAGCACTGAAGTCAATTGGAATCAGAATTAAAATGTCTAGAATGGATTAAGATCTCACCTCACCTACCCCTTTAACTCTGGGCTTGACCATTTTCTGGCTTGGTTCCATTGTAATGTCTTAGTTGCTATAGCAAAGGATCTAGCTCTCTGCTTAGAACGAGGAGTACAGCTTCCTGATCTGACTTAAAATGGTACAACAACACTGATTTTAACAGTGTCCCCTGACATGCACTGAGACAGCAATCACAAGGAATTTGGAAGTGCACACACTCCCTCTGGAGGGGGAGAGCAGAACTGTTTCCAGAAGACTGCCAGCTTCTGTTTTAAGGGAAATACAAAAAAAAGAATTGATATTACAAAGCTTTTCAGATAGAAAGACAGGCAGAATATATCATATTAAAAACTGACTTGAGACAAGGCACTTCTCCCAATTTAGCTTTCCAACAACGTATCTTTGCTGTTAGAAAAGCATCACGAGTTTCTACTTCTACCTTTTCCACCTTCACCTAATATGTCAGACCATGGATCATTTGCTCTTAACCTCCCCCTTCTATGCTCCAGCAGTGAGATTACACTTTCCATGCCCATCAAGCTTTTAGCGTCTTTATAGCTTTGGTCAGACTGCTATAAAATCCAACCATGCTGCTTGGAAAGAACGAGTCCACCACAGTCTGAGGAAGGTAGCCACCAAGATCAGTCTGAAAGAAACTGAGGAGCTGAGTCTTGTCTGGTTCCCTGAGAAAACAACACACAAGTGCAAGTAATTTTATTAGTGAGGTTTATAACACAGCAAGGCCTTGCTAGTGAGTTTTGTATTTGGGCATGCATTTATCTGTGGATAAATACTGCTTTGTGCTTTCCACTGAAAAGGTGAAGTGCAAGCTTCCCTATTACAGCCCATCAGTGTAGCTTTTATCTGCCTCTACAAAAAGAGATGGTCAGTTTTTCAGTTAATTTAGGCCCCAGCTTAGCCCAGACATATAAACTACTTCACTGAAGTAAATGGCAATACTCATATACTGCAAATGAAGCATATGCTTATTCATTGCTTGAATTACGGTCTTAATTCTTGGCTTCTCCATTCAGAATATCAACAAGGGATTCTCACAATAACGACACTTTCTATAATGTTAGTAAGTATCCACTAGGAAATTAAGAGAGACTAATTCACTTTGCCTAAGGCACTGAATACCACTCGTTTGTAATGACATGACAACTAGCTTTGGCTATATATGAACCAATGACTGCCAAAGCATTCTTAGCCAGACAATGCATTCACATATAGGACACTAAGTGAACTACAGCAAATGTAAGAACCTTTCTTACCCTGGAACAGGTATACAGAAACAGCCACATGGATAATTAAACCCTCTCACGTAACTGGGTTGCGGAGGACAGAGCACATGCTCTATATTGGTTGCTGCAAAACAAAAAAAAATACATTCAAGAAAAAGACTCCCTTTCTTTGGTAAATGCCACAAGCTGAACAGCTTTCTACTTGGGAAAGATAATCAGTGGTTCTTGAGACTGAGGTTCTTTGGTCTGTGATTTGCAAGAGGCCAGATTAAAATTATGACAACCGCTTCTGCCCAGTCTGAGTCAAAGGACTGCACATACTTTAGGAGTGTTTAATACTTTATGTACTTACAGCAAGGCACATTGTGAGTTATTCACTGGGCTGGTACACCATGTTTGAAAGATAACTCAAGCTGCTTGCAATAGGTATATATCACATAGGTATGGTATATACCACTCTTTGGAGTGGTATAAACCTTTTGTATCAGTACCAGTATATAGATTCCTGGCTTATATCCAAACTAGGTAAGATGCCATATCAACAACATTTGCTTAAGACACAGTGAAAGATGTAAATGAAAGCAAAGATGAACAGATGAATATAGTTCCAGCATCTACAAGCTGCAGTTACCACCTCAAGGAAAACTGGTCACTGATGGGCTCTACAGATCATCTTTTTTCACTAGTTATAGTTAAACAAAATGCGACAGCTTTGCAATGTCCTATAAAATGCTAAGATATAATCTGATTTAAGAGACTCTTCTGAGATATTTCTATATGTTCTAAAATCTAAGTGTAATACCAACTAAACTATCTATTCATTCTCCAAAGATGTCATGACTAGCGAACAGTGTAACAACTTACCAAAGAGTATAATGGTGCTGGTATTTTATATAGAAATAATAATTTAGCACTGACTTTGTTACTGCATTTTATGACCAATAATTTTGCATCAAAAATACTGAGGCACTTCTTGTAAAAAAGAAATCATTGACATTCACTAACTTGCTGCTCAGAAAGAGACTATAATGGGAATTAAACCATCTTACCAGTGGATGCTAGAGTCCCATCTTCATACTGCTTTGTTAGCACCACATCTACAAAGTCTCTTGGAGAAATAAGCCTCATGAGAGCTGATGGGGTAGTAGTTCTGCATATAGAGACAGTCTAGAAAATTGGAATTAGCATTGTGTCACTTTATGCCTGTCTTTTCTTTAATACAACAGTGTGTTACATAGGTTACGTCCAGTTAAGCGCGGGCATCGGTTTCCCCAGGGACAAGTAACAGCAGCACACCTGGTGGCACTGCTGCTTGTCCCTGGAGAACACCCATGCCATACATACTTTGGCACACAGCAGGTTACCCTGGATGAAGTAGGGGAGGCTGAGGCCGGTAACTGTGCTGGCACCAGAAGCCTTATCATGGGTCCTGGGGGCCTCCCGGGGCTGCAGACACACCAGGAAGCCTGGCTAGCAGCTGGAGTGTGGCTTGGGTCAGCCAGGCTCGGTTTTGGGCGGTGCATGCTGCTGCCACCCCGGGTTTTTTTTGGTGCGAGTTTTTTTTACCCTGGGATCTCCCAGGGTCAAGAAAACCCCTCACACTGCAAAGTAGTAGTGCGGGTAATGCCTGCATGTGTGGTGTGTGGCACTTCAGATGGGCTTGCGGCACCACATGTCTACGCTTATCCGGACGCAGCCACAGACACTTATAGTGACACTCAGCTGACATGCAGTGCCTTTGATTTCAATCACATGACTTGCTATTCAGCATGAGTAAAAGTTATCACAATCAAACGGTGAGTCTTGGTTCAAGAGCAGTTTTGACAGGAATGATCTTTTAGAAAAGTGTCACAAATACACTCACGGCGACTGTTACTTAACACACTTCTCTAAATGACACCTCTTTTAGAGAACTAATAAATTTAGTAACTTAAACAGCAACAACACCGCTTCATTATTTAAGAAATAAATAAATACAACCAACTGTTTAATGTCAGCTATCATTACAGGTACTTTTGTTAACCAGGATTATAGAGGCTTGGGAGAATTGACATTATAAAACAATACAGACCTGGAGTCAGGCTATAATAGGGGTGGGCAATTATTTCGGGCGGAGGGCTGCTTACCCAGTTTTAGCAAGCTGTTGAGGGCTGCATGGGTAGCCCTGCCCCTTGACAGGTGCCCTGCCCCCTGGTCACCATCTTGGGACCAATGTCCCAGGGCCAGCACCGGTGGGGCCCAGAGGAGGGCGCAGGCTGGCACAGGTCTGCGGAGCTGGGCTGGGCTGCACCAGCAGGGAGAGGGGGGAGCTGGTCCAGCTCCACAGAGCCCCTGGTGACCGGGACTCTGTACCTCTGCCACCCTGCTCTCGGTCCTGCTGGCGCTGGCCCTGGGCCACTGGTGCAGGTCCTGTGCTCCCACGCCTGCTCACTCCCAGTGTGCCCCCAGCCCTGAGGTACAGGTGGGGGGTAGTGCGCAGCCCTGACCCCCTGCTCACTGGCAAGGAAGGAGCTGGTGCTGAGCACAGGGAAAAGCAGTCCCTCCTCCGCCCCATGGGCCGCTCTCCCTGCTGCAGCCACTCGCAGCCTGTGCAGGGCTGTCCTGAGCAGGCACAGGCAGCCCCATGCAGGCTGCAAGCGGCTGCAGCACAAGGCACCAGGCCAGGCACGGGGAGGACGACGAGCCGCTCTTCCCCCTGCACTCAGCACCAGCTTGTAACTCATCCCCACAGCCAGCCTGGGCCCCGCGAGGGCTCTGGGCTCGCCTGCTGGGGCTGTGCCGTGGTGGCCGCAGCTGCGGCTCCTCTGTTCGCCCGCCTGGAGCTTGCACGCTGGGCAGCACAGAGGTGGTAGTGGCTGCCTCACCACAGACCACCACGGTGCGAGCTCCAAGCAGGCAGCAGCAGCAAACATTGCCCAGCACGGCAAGCAGGGGGTCCGCAGCTGCTGCCACCGTGGTGCAGCCCTGATGGGTGAGACCAGAGCTGGTGTGGGGCCAGATTACAAGATAGTGCTAAGTGTGGGGGGAAAGTGGCCCCTTGCCTGCCCCGTGTCTGGCACTGCAGCCGCTTGCAGCTTGTGTGGGGCTGCCTGTGCCTGCTCAGGACAGCCCCGCGTGGGCTGTGAGTGGCTGCAACAGGGAGTGCAGGCCACGGGGTGGGGGAGGGGCCACTTTTCCCCACGCTCTGCACCAGCTCCTTCCCTGCCCTTCCCCACTCCCACCCTTACCTGAGCTTCCCCTGCTGAAGCAGCCAGTGATCCCTGCTAGGGCTTCTGGCTGTGGGGGCGGGCCCTCCTGTTGCAGGAGCCTACAGAGGATTCCCTTGGGTCCTACTGCTCCTGGCTCCTGTCATTTTTGACAGGAACCCAGGACAGATAAATTTCAATTTCCAAATTCTTAGGGGCCTCACGGGTTGGATAGAATAGCCTTGCAGGCCGGATCTGGCCTGCGGACCATATTTTACCCACCCCCCGGGGCTATAACATTATAAAATTAGAATGTTTTTTAATAGTATGCATTATTTATCTTATTTCACTACAACAGTTCCATTCAAAGAGACTTTCAGCGTCAGGTCAAGACTTGATAACGTATTTAATCGACAAACTAGAAAAAAAAAGAGCAGTTTTGGGCAACAGGTTCAAAATAAAGGGTTTCTGGAAGCTATTCAATCCTCTTTGTGGTTCTGTAACTGCAAAACTGTCCTGAAGCTACCTGCTTCCACAGGACCCAATTCTGACCCTACTCTAATCCAAGGACATTTAACCATAATGTCCTCGTCTCTTTCATAGCACTTACGTCACTGATGGTTTCAATAACGTCAAACCCCTTCACGTTCGGGTCCCAGGTCGGTCTGAGTCCGTTGGCGACGGGTTTCAGGAGCTCCCAGACGTTCGCAGGACTTGCCGGCACTATTCCTTCGCCCTTGTACCTGCAGCAGAAAGGAGCGGAAACTGAAGTGACCTCTGCATCTCCGTCACCCCGAAACCCCCCTAAGGAAAACACCAGGAGCTGGAGCGACTGGAGGCGGGTTCAGCACTGTGGGCACCCCCCATCTTTCTGCAACACCGTCCCATGCACACAGCGAGCAGCCACTGACTCACAGGTTGCCGGGGAACTCGTCTGAGGGTCTCCAGGACACCGAGACGTCGCTCTAGGGGGGAAGGAGAAAGCCTTCAGATGCCGAGCCCCACCGCCCTCCCTGCCACATGCTGCCCTCCCCTCTCTCCTGCCAAGCGCCTGAGGGGCTCTAGGCAGGGTCGGCTGCTCCTCCCTGAGCTGAGATGCCACCTGCCCCGGGCCGGGCGGGCAGGGAGGCCCAGCCTCATTCCCCAGCTGCAAGGAGGGAAAGTCTGGGGCCCCCCCGGGCCGCCGCCTCACCGTGCGCTTGCAGCAGTGCCAGCCGCCCGGCTCCTGCCGGTACAGCGACACCTTCCCCGCCGCCAGCACCGCA